GGGGGGGGGAAGTAGGGCGGCTGGAAGTCGGCGTTGGGGGTGTGCGAGAGCGGCGGGGCGCTGCTATACGGGGACTGCCCCACGGCCCCCAGCTGGGGCAGCCGCGCCGTCCCGTTGCTGGCACTGTCGTGGCGCTCCTGGGGGGGGGCGAAGGGGGGGGAGACACGGGGAGGGGGTACGGGGGAAGAGGGGAGGGGAGAGAGGGGGAGAAAAGAAAAACAAAAGATGAAATCAAAACCGGTGCTCCTCAAAATCGCCCTCCGGTCATTTCCCCCATCGGGCAGCTCCTCTCTCGGAGGGAGAGACGGAGGTCCGTCTACCCACCTTGGCAGCATTAACGGGGCTCGGACCATTGCCCCAACGGTGGCGGTATAATAGCAGCGATAATCACAATAACGGGACCGTTCCGAACAATTCAAAAAAACGCTGCGGCGGGGCTCCGTGCGCTCCCGGCCGGCCGTGCCCCGGCAGCGGGCACTGAAAGAACCCTTACACGGGGCCCTACGGAACCATAATCCGAAAACGCAACCCAAAGCTCTGCCCCGGTCCCGGTGCACCTTTGCCGGGGGCCGCCGCCGCCACATCCCGGGAATAACGCGAGGGAGCCGAGCGAACTGCCATCTTGCTGCGGGGACACCGTTGCCCCTGCCCGCAACTTTGCACAACGATTCGGGGCGAAGGCGCGGCCCCAGAGTCTCCTCCGGGCCCCGCTCAGACGGGGGAGAGGAGGAGGAAGAAGAGGTCGAAAGGAGAGAGACAGAGCTCTGAGAAAGGCGGCGAGGGAAGGAGGAAAGCCCCGCGGGCAGGTGCGGGGCGAAGGGAACGGAGTGGCGGCTCTAGAGATCGGCAGAGCAAAAATGAAAGGAAAAAGAGAGACAGAAAGCAACGAAATATCCAAACCAATCCCCCCCCAACAAATAAGGAAAGGAAAATAAAACCAAACGAGAACGAGGAGAGCGAAGCCGAGACGAAAGACCAGAACGCAGGGCAGAGCCGCCGCAAGCCCGGCCGCCGCCGCCGCCAACAATAGCAGCGCCCCGAGCCCCGACCCCCGGCGGAGAGAAAGGCGAAGCCACTCACCATAGCCGAAAAACTGTGTACTAACATCTGCGAGGCGTCGGGGGCTGCGCGGCGGGGAGAGAGGCGCGGGGCGGCCGCGGAGGGGCGCGGAGCTGCGCGGAGGGACGCGGCCGGAGCCCGGCGCTACGCTCGGGGGGCAGCAGCGGGGCGCCGGGGCTGCTCCTGCTCCGCGCCCGCGCCGCCGGAATCCATCAGAACGCGCAGCGCCCGCCGCTGCCCTTCATCGGGTGCTGCAGAGCCTCTGCTATCCTGGCGCGGGGCGAGAGGTAAAGTTGGTCGATTTTTGTTTGTTTGTTTGTTTGTTTGCGCTTTTTTTTTTTTTTTTTTTTTTTTTTTTGTTTTTTTTTTTTTTTTTTTTTTTTTTAAAGGATGTGTGTTCGTTTCTCAATCCTTTTTCTCGCTCTGTCTCTGTCTCGTTCTCCTCTCCCCCGAGCTCCGCCGCTCCGCTCGGGCTCCTCACGCCCGCTCCGCCGCCGCCTTCCCGGAGCCTCCTAGCAGCGGATATTCATGACTATTAATATTACACGAATACTTAATAAGGGAAGAATGGCCGCAAATCGAGCGTGAAGCGCGAAGGCAACTCAAGGCAGAGCCCGTTCTAAATGACGTCCATTGAATGAGGAATCGGTGTATCTAATCAGCGCCGGGGAGAGAGGGAGAGAGAGGGAGAGAGAGACAAAAAGGAGGGAGGGAGGGAGCGCGGCGCGCAGGGGGGACATGCCGCCGCGTCTGGCGAATCACAGGGAAGGGGCCACATTTTAAAAGGTTGCGGGGCATGCAAAAGTGAAAGAGAAAGAGAGCGGAGAGAGGCAGAGGGTGGGAGCCGGGAGGGGTGCGGCGGAGGTGGGAGAACCGTGCGGCGGGGGGGGGGGGGGGGGAAAAGGGGGGGGGGGGGGCGCGGGATCCCCTTTCCTTCTCTCCTTCCCTCCCTCCTTTTCCTCCCTCCCTCGTCGTCCCCAGCCCCGGGCGCACCTCGGGCTGCGGCTGCTGAGAGAAGCCGGGCTCGAAGGCGGCGGAGGGGGAGAAGAGCGGCCGCTCCCGGCTCCCGCCGCCCTCCGGCCCGCCGCCCTCGCGCGGGGGGGGCTCCGCCGCCGCCCCGTCCATGCCCCGCCGAGGGGTCCCCGCTCCGCTGTCGCCGCCGCGTCCTGGAAAGTTCTCCTCCTCCTCCTCTTCCTCCCGCACCTCCAGCCCCGCCAGCATCCGCCGCCCCCCACTCGGAGGAGCCGGGAAAAGAGGAGGGAAGGAAGGAACGAAGGGAGGAAGGAGGGCGGGCGGGACGCGGGGGGAGAACGAGAGAGTCGGGCACGGCGGGAGGGAGGCACGGCGAGCGCTCCTCCGTCCGGCCCAGACACGCCGGGCCCCGCGCAACCCGTCCGACTGGCTGCGCGACTCCGGCACCGCCCTCCGCGCCGCTCCTCTGTCCCTATCCCGGCCCCGGCTCCGCACTGCGCCGGGCCTTGACGGGACGAAATCGGCGCCCGCGGGGGCCGGGGCCGAAGACCCGACGGCAAGCGGCACGCAAACGGCTCTGACCCACAACCGGCGGCCTGGGCCGGGGAAGAGGTGAAGCTCTCGCCGTGCCTTCGGCCGACGGATGGAATAATAATTATAACAATCATAATAAAATTTAAAAAAAATCTCCCTGACGCCCCATTGCCAGACATCGCATATCCGACAGCTCAGCCTCGCTCCGGGCAGCGGCTGCGTCCCAGCGCTTGGGGCACGACTGAAGCACCGCATCCTTCGGTCCCCGGAGGTTCCTCGGACCCTGCCCTACGCCGCGGCATCGCCCGGCGCCGGCTCGGCCCCAAAGAAGTACATTCGTTCGCACAGTGCAGTCCTTTTATTGATCCGAGCCGCAAGGAGAACTTTTGTGGAAGGTGTGAGCGTGGCTTTCGTTGGAGATTGGCATGGGCTGCCCTCTTCGTTTTGCTCTTCTTCTCCTTTTTTTTTTTGTGTGTGTGTGTGTGTGTGTCAGACCAAAAGACACTCAGAGCGCGGCCGCACACACACACGGCTCTGTCCTCCGACCCTAGTTGTTGGGGTTTAATTTTCCGAGCGGTCCATATACGACTGCTCGAAGGCCCTGAGAACAGGGAGGCTGCCCCCAGAGCCGCATTCGGGACACGGCCGCACCGGGGGGGGGGGGATTTCAGCGGCTGTCCTGAGCCGCTCTGCTCCCTTTGTCTCCTCGCTCTTCCTTCCATCCATCCGTCCATCCATTCTTCCATCCATCCATTTATCCGTCCGTCCATCCATCCGTTCATCCATCCGCGCGGATGCGCGCAGCATCCCACAGAGCCTCACGCACAGAGCTCTCCCTACGGCCGGGATTGCTCCGGCTCTCGTTCCGCCGTCGTTCCCCGAGGGCTCCCAGAGGCCCCGGCCCCTTTCGGCCGCTCCCGGCTCGGGGGCACAACTCCTCCTCAACGAAATCCACGGATCGGTGGATGCTGCGCGGCCCCGTTCGCGGCGAATGGCCCCGGGGCAGTGCCCGGTCCGGTCAGGCGCTTACCTCGCACTCCTCATACTTGATGTTATCCGTCAGCTTCCAGAGCATTTTCATGGGTCGGCGGGAGAGGGTCCGATCCCCCCGACTCGATGCTGCGGAGCGCGGCTGAGCTGTGCAGAGCCGCTCTGCACTGAGCGCTCGGAGATCTCCCTCTAATGGCAGAAACTTTTCCCTTTTGCAGCGCTTTACCCGCAGCCGGAGCGCCTCATTAGCATAGCGACCGCGGCCCAATTGCTCGCCGGCTCCGACCCGCGCCCGCCGCAGGTACGGGACCGTAGGGACGGCTCTGCGCCCGTGTGCGCCCACCGCGGGGGGGAAAGGGGCCGTGCTCTCGGGCGCGGGGCGTCCTCTGAGCTTTTCCCCCTTTTTCCCCCCAAAACCAGGCAGAGGGGAAGCGAGGTGCGACCGTTTGCAGCCTGCGGAGGTGGCTCCTGCCCTCGGGGTTCGATGTCACCTTTTATTTTTTGACGGATTATTGAAAAGCCGCGTTCTTTCGAGAACTGTTCTCTTCTCCTCCGGTCCCGGTGGCTGTTCTCCAAAATCCAGCCCCAAACCCTACACGCCACACCCGGACAGAACGGCGAGGCAAAAACACGGGCAGCCAAAAACACACTTCTGCGAACGCTACAGCGCAGGGACGGAGCGGTGACACCAGCGAACTTCGTCTGTTCCCTACGCGGAGCGCTCTGTCGGCCCCGCACGCTCTCCCTCCCTCGGGGCCCCTCTTCCCTCCTCCCCGATCCCATTCATTTCGCTCCCCGAGGCACCATCCGCTCAGACGCTGCGTCCTGCCTCGAGGAGCCCTGCTTTACCCCCAGCGCCCAACCCCGCACCCCGGGGCTCCCCCCGCTATGTACCGCCCGGGGCAGCGCGCAGCGGGCTGCGGTGGGGGCACATCTGGGGCAAAGAGAGCCTAAGTGGGGGTTCGTAACCAAGCCTAAGCTGGGTTAGTGCGAAAGTAATACAGATGTGTACACACACACGTATCTGTCCCATTTAGATCGCTTCTACTCACCGACCCCCCGATAAAGGACGCCAATTTCAACTGTAAAAGTGATTAAAAATATATTTGTGCTCACTTTTTTTTTTTTTTTTTTTTTTTTTTTTTTTTTTTTTTTTTTTTTTTTGTCTTTTCCTCCAGTAAGGAATAAAGCAGCGAGGAGAGAGATCGGAAAAGTCAGGAGCAGCACAGGCAACCGAACCCACCCAACCCTTCCCCCCCCCTGGGGCGGATCACGCGTGGGAGCGTCCCGGTCCGTCCCGTCCCTCGATACCCAACTCCCGTCCCACGTAACAACCCCCCGACGAAATGGGGCAGCCCCCCGTTACCTGCCAGTCCCCCATCTTGGCGAGGACGGACATGGCGCTGCGGGCTGCGGCTCCCGCCGCTCACGGGCTGCGGGGAGCGGCGCCGCCGGCTGAATCCTCCCTCCCCTCACCTGCACCGCGCTCACCTGGGCCAGGAGGGGCCGGCAGCTCCTGCCCGCGCCTGCGCGATGCCGCCCGCTGTTCCCCCCCCC